TAATCACCGTTTGCTATGTGAAAAACCTTGATACACCATATAAGCCGAGGGTTGCAGTATTTGCGGTCGCCTCGACACCTGAGTTTCTACTCTTCTTACCTTCGCTAGACAGTCGATTGATCATGGTTCGTTAACTCAAACTCTGTTCTCGAAACATAACAATGAGAAATTTCTTGTACAAGTCATCAATCCATCAATCAACAAGGAGGCTTGAATTTATAGTTCTGTGATAAGCTACCTTTGGCGGAGGAGGAGCCGGAAAGCGGAGGACAGGACCAGATCTTTTATTAGATACGTTGAGTTCGGAGAGAAGATTCACCACTCTTGAGACATTAGTCACTTACTGACACGAGTACAACCCAATTGTGTACCTAAACATAGGAACGTAAACAACTTCAATTGTGGTTTCAACAACAATGTTCCCAACATCAGCAATCACAACCAATTGATGTCACCATATAATTATATTGAGAGAGAGACTACCTCGATAGACGTACATGCGAATGCATTGTATGGATTGAGATCACTCGTGTAAAATTGGAATCACAATAAACAATAAATGATACATGTAGCAAATATAGGAGTGATTTATATATGGATCATAAGAGAGTGTGATAGTCAAAGGTGGAATTTTATATCTTATCACTCTTGTAGTTTAGGGTGTGAGATATACGGATATCGCATTAACACGATAATTATAATATAGTTCCTAGGTCCTAAAAATTTTAAACTCATACATAATCTGATTACCTTTGTTGCGTGATGGGTCTAGGTGACCCCGTTATGATCAGATATTCTAAAAGCTTCATACAGTGAGGAGATGGAACTCAAACATGTGTTGCAGGCTAGGAATATTGACTGTATTACAGACTTTATATATCATAGATCACCAGATACTACTAGCTTCATCGATGTTGTGCGAGGTTATAAAATTTACATTAAGAGTTGCGATGCTTTTAGGACTATCTCAGCTCTATAGGATCGTATGATTCCGAACTGGGTTTGGTTGATGTGGATACAATCTAGTATGGTAACAGCTATCACGTCTGTGGATGAAAAACAGCATAATACGGGCCCTTCACTGTGTAACTTGGAGATGATGTCATTGTTTTACCCGCATGTTCAGTAGTATGGCATTAAAATTATCTATCCCCATGGAAACTAAGAAGTGTCCCAACCAGGCCAAGTTACTGGTTGGTGAAGAATAAGTGTTTTTCAAGATCTTCTATTTAAATATAGATTTTTTTTAATACCACACACCATTCCAGGCTCGGTGCGTCTCTTTCTCCAGCCGGACAGTCCTCCCGGGTGCTTTCGCATTGCCACCACATGACTGCGGCCGAGTCGCTTGTTACATTGCCAGTCGCGCTTCCGCTGTTTGTTGCTGGAGCCAAATCATGCAACAGCGAAAGTTGACAATACAAGAGCATCACGAATTATTCAATAGCATCCATTACATCGTTATATTGTCCGAAAGCTAAGTGTGCGCCCGCGATTGCTAAAGTGCGGAGTTATCATAGAGCCATGAGCACATGATCCTCTGCGGAAATTGCTGCTCATCGTAGAGTTTATGTATCACTGATACCTGCTGCCATAGCTCGGACACGATGCACAGTCAACCTGTTCAAGTGTGCAGTCACGATACGACCAAGCCCCTTATGACTCTGCTTAGATCGTCAGACGAGACTCCAGATCTGCTCTCACAACGCGACAGCAAGGAAGTATCCTTTAGTGTTGAAGCAATGCAGATGTAGCACACGAAGAGGCAGATCGTCATATGAGGGGCGCGACACGCGGAGCTAGGTATTAATCATCAAGAATATCAAAATTGAGACATGCAATCACCACAACTAGAAGAACATCTTCTGACGATGAGTGAAAAAACTGAAATAGATCATAAAGAGAGAGGTATTGATCCTCTTTCAAAGGTTATGTGTGTGAGTAGGTACAGCTGAGTACCAGATCATTAGATAATAGAACATTCTCGTCGTCTTCTCTGCGATGATTGATCTTCACGACAGATTCACCGATTAGGCTTATACAATCAGTGCCTGTTCAGATATTGGAAGTGTATTGGGATACAGCGATGCGGCCTGGCCGTACGAAACTACGCATTATTTTGAGACCTTAGAGACTCAGAGATATGAGGGCGACGAATCTTCTACGCGGGGTACAGATCTTATGATTTTAGACAGAGCGCTCGAGAGCTTTCTTTCTATCTTCTTGCGCCGAGTTGGCTGCCCATCAAGGTGTGTGTACGTGCTTTGAGAGAGGAGGTTGAAGGAGGAGAGTGGTTGTGCGTAGGGGAGTGTATCCTTGTGGTGTCGCACGGGGTGAGAATTGGACTGCGCGAGGGTGGGAGGGAAGCTATTTTAGGGGAGCCGTGCGGTCAGTCGAGGAGTATGGGTGGGTGCGGTGAGGGGTGCGGGAGGACGTGGGTGGGTCTGGCGCTTGTTGCGACAAAGGTGTAGCGCACGTGGAGAGGGGGAGTCATTCGGTGGTTAGGTTGTGTGAGGTCGAGTGTGGGGACTGTGGTGTGGAGAGCGTGGAGAGAGTGACGGGAGGGATGTGTGTGAATGGGTGGTTGGTTAGTTGGATGTTATGGTGTGTGTAGGTGTATTGTATTTCGTGGTAATTTATTTATTCCGACGCGGTAACGACAGCTATCATGGCCTTGTATTCGAGAGTCGCGAAACGAGCGGAGTAGGCGACAGGTATTAGTATATGCGCACTCTCACAGAGAACGCCGATAATGTTGGACTCTTAGAGGATAATTTCTGATATTCCGGGATAGCTAGCAGCGATTGATTATCAGGTTTCGACTAAGAGGAAATATCTCGGATAGAAATCTTCAAATATGTCTATTTGTATACCACACACCATAGACCACGACTTCATCAATTGTACATCGCAGCACTGTACCTCTGAGTATTTAGGATCCAGATGGAGCTGAGTAATTAGTCATATCTTGTATGAATTAAATCTGTCCTCACATACGTTTCCCATTAAGCTAAGAGTATGTTTAAAAATTGTGCCGCATATATTCTTTCACATACTTTGTTTAATGATCAGGGAGATCATTACACTAATACTGAACTTAAGAAAAAGCAGCACAGTCTGTAGTAACTATAGGTTCATTAAATCCTAAACTTGGTTCGAGATAACTGACTATCTACTTATTTTAAAATGCCCACACATAAATAAATAAGATCTCTTCCATCATCGAGATACCTGTCTAAAGACGGTTGAGCATGCTTCCCGGTACAACCTGTCCACGCCACAGGAGACAGGACCTACTGAATCAAGGAGCACAGGTCTTCCTATCTTTTTCTTAATATTATTATAGAGGAAGTGTTCTATAACTGGATTATAATTACACTCGTGTGCATCAGCATAAATAGGACTCTTCATGGAGGAGTAGCTTTTCTCGGTCGCTGTTATAGGTGATTATTCGTGTTATGTTCTCTCGTCGTTCTCTCTGTGCGCCGTGGATTGTTGTTATTGTCTCTCGCTCTTTTTATGTCCTTGTAATAGAAGAAAGGGTAAGCTGTGTGGGGTATTATTATCTATATAGAACTGACGCCTGCTGAGCTAGCACAAGCATTGCTCTCATAGAGTGTATAGAGGTCGTAAAAAAGGCTTGACGCGTAGCCGAACAGGACCGGGTGCGTTTCGATCGTGGAGTTAAATATGCTTGACGATCTGTGAATTTAATGGGAAAGATAACTACCTGTGCTGACCGATCAGGGAACTAATTAGCGAGATGATGGAAGCTTAGTTCACGACACCAACCACAATTCAATGCTATTTAATTTCACAACAGTAGAGAGAATAGTAGTCAACAGTGGAACGATAACTGTAGTGTTGAAAAGCCAATGTCATAGAGCTATAGTGAAACATGGTATGGCAGTTTTAAGATATGGCTTTGAACAGAGGCAGGTCAGGGATGGACCCTAACTCAAGGGAGACCAGGGACGTCCAGCAGATGTTGCCCAGTGGATCGTAGAGCTCTGCTGGGCTGGTGAGGGGTCAAAATGTCGACACCAATAGTGAAGGTCAACAAACTCACTAGAGATCTGAGCTAAAACGCCACACGCGAGCTTACACTACACACACACCGGGCAACATATCACAGATTTAATACAACATGGAGGTCTATAGACTAGTTGATCACCAGGAAGCCGATGAGAGTTATTTATGGCACGTTAAGGATGGAGAAGGGGTATTAGAGTTGATTGTCGTCATCATCTTGACAGTGTGTCCACCGAGACGAGTGTGGTTAAGATGAAGCAAGTCATTGCGATAGGATTATATGCGAATATTGAGTACTGCAGGCGTGGGGCTAGCAGTTAGAACACGGATCTTTCGTGTTGTGCCTGATCCGCACGGGTACATCCATTAATCTGCGTAGATTGTTACACATGCACTGCCTACAGATAGATGTCTTAAGACGCTTCAGTTAGTTTGTCGCGAATATTGAGGTATATAAGGTCGCCTTACAGACCGCTAGGCGGCCGGCGTGGGACATTTTCGGTTTCTCCGTGTAACTTTGTCATCTCTCTCAGGCGAGAGTTTCAAGAGAAAAGAGAAATCAGAATCTCATGACGTAGCATGGTAGTCCGGACGAGCGCGGAAGAGTCAACACAGAGACATACCAAAGTCATTATGAAATCTGAGGAGTATGAGATACCGAGATCGTGGGATTGGCCTTGGACGTATGCATTAGTAATACAGCGTTAATAGAGCGAGTGAGGAGAGGAGTTTTTCACGTTGATCTCATGCTTGGTCACTAGCATGTCTTCGCGTCAGGAGAGGCGCACAACGTACATCCACATACTCACACACAGACAACGATGATGTCTCTTCTTCGTTCGTTCCGTTCGATGAGCTGTAAACGCTCACTTACGCATTTGGACTCCTTGTCTCTTAATGGTCAGGAGCGTAGGGTCTACTCAGCACAGCCTTCAGTAAAAGCACTAGCGTCTAGGTGTTTCGCTCACTCCTTGACCTTTCCTCTTTGCGTCTCTGTAGACTCACCTATTGTCTCATACACTCTTTCTCGCGTCTCCCTCTCCTGTGCGACGCCAATCATCCATACATCATCATCGAGATACGCCATCATGCGTGGCCTTATATACCTGTCTGGAGTAAGATGGTTTACGCGAGTACTTAATCGTCTGGATCGCGCTATCTTATTCATTCTCCATTCTTCACTGTTCTAGTGTGCAGTGATAGAGAGACTGATGGGCATATCTATCCAGATATCGGCCTGGCCTTACATATCTACGATCTTACGCGTCTCCTCATTGCTATACTACCGGTTGGACATCATCATTATGTTATTGCGTATAACCACGCCAATCTCTGATGTCTAATGCAGCGCCATATCTCAAGTTTCTCTGTCACTCGTTCTTGCTTCTCTGGTCTACCCCGTGTGGATACCACTTACCTGTTCGCTGTAGGCTTTACACTCTCCTCTGCACTACCAATACTCATCTACTCATGCTTTCGTAGCTTGATGTCAGATCGACCAGGTCGACCCTGTTCTGAGCGCTCCACTCGCTGTGCCAGTCATACATCCGCTCCTCCTTTGCTGACCTCTATTCTTCCTGCGTGTTGTCATGCTCTCGCACGTGGTGTTTTGGAGCGTCGTGGCTCGCGGCGTCTGGTCTGCCGCTTGCTCTTCGCTACATGCCTGTCTGGCTGTCGCTGTCAATGACTGTCTAGCTGCTCTTCTGTGATGCCTCTGAGCATCTCTCTTCGCTTCTCAGGGAGTTCGATCTTTAGGCCTACGTTGGCGTGCACACTCTCCTCGTAACTCTGTCTGTGCTGGTCCTCTGCTAGCTCTATGCATGCATCGTCCTCAGTGTATCCCTTGTCGCGAGCTCGCGTCCTCTCTGTGGAGAACGCCGCTAGCTTGGTCATCTCCCTCTGTGTCGCTTGGCGTGGAAGCACGCTTGCTGACTGTGCGGGGAGTCCGAGCCCTCCCAGTCCTCTAAATTCTTAGTCATCTTCGAGGCTCCAAATGGACTCGGATATAGTGTTTATTCGCTCCAGACTGTATGCCTGAAGTGACCCAATGATTTTTGGCCCTATGCTTCCTTGTATCTTCGTAATCTTTTTCAACTGCACATTCTTCTGACTATTGTCACAATGTAATCAAGATATTTTTCACTACTGTAGACCACGCGCACACTGGTTATGTGCTCTCTTCAATTCCTCGATCATCATGATCCACACTTCCCTTTGATCTCCATTCTGTGCACTGACTCTCTTCTCTGATTATCGTGTCGTCCACATATGAACGCCCTCAGTCTTGATCCATCTCTTACAACTCTCTGCTCATGCGTTTCTTATCCAACAAGCACAATTGTACACCATGATTCTTTCTCCTTCGTCTGTATTTACTACCTATCTAATTGGGTAATGAATTCCGTGTCACTGAAGCGAAAGCAGCACCTCTACTCTCTCTTTATTCGAGTCTCTTTCTTGGTGTTTCGTCTTCCATCACTCCCTCTACCGCCTTTCCTCATTCATACGCATCCGTCTCGTCTGACCTGCTGCACCACATAACTAACACCCAGGATCTCGATATTGCACAACCTCGCTTGTCCTCTCTTACTCCATCCTCCTCTCTTGAATACACATCGGTCAGTTGTTCTCTATTTTGCTTGTTTTCTGGTCTCAGTCTCTACTGTTAGACCGGAACTTTTCATACATCTCACCTGACGTGCTCGTGCTGCGTCCTGTCACGTCTTGTACATGACTTCTCTCGCTAAACCTACAGAGTACTCTCGTCGCGTGTATGTCCGTGTCGTGTCTGTTCGTGCTTCCTCACACGCGCTCCAATCATTGTGGTGTCTCATCACTTTCGGGTCGTTTCTTAATTTCGTCTCTCTATCTCAACTGGAGTCCACATACGATTCACATCCTTCTCCCACTTGGATACACTTGTCGCTGACTAGATCCCTTGCACAATACTCTATGATTCCTGGATCTTCTCACATAAACAACACATAATATGAATCCACGGCTGCTAAGTCTGTCCTCTGCATGCTCTCTGAACGCTATGTCCTAAGTCTCTGACTGGTCATGTAGGGTTGGGCTCACTGTCCGTGTCTTGGTCTTCAAGTGTGCCAATCAAATCTGGTAAGAATGTCTTCTGACATTACATGCATACGAACAGGTTACAGCCCCTTCTTATATCTGTAATTATTACATACACACATTCCAGGTGGTCTCTCTCTACATCTCTGTCTCTATCTCTCTGTCTGTCTCTCTCTACCCCTCTCCTTTTGTCTCTCTCTTTCTCTCTCTACCTTTCCTTCCCTCTGTCTGTCTCTCTGTCTCTCTCTTTCTCTGTCTGTCTCTCTCCCTCTCTGACCCGCTCTCTTTCTCTCTCTCTAGACCTTTCTTCCTCTCTGTTGGCTGTCTGTCTCTTGTCTTTCTCTCTCTGTGTATCTTTCTCTCTCTACCTCTCTCTTTTACTCTACCTCTCTCGCTCTGTCTCTCTCTTTGTCTCTCTCTCTACCCCTCTCTCACTCTCTTTGTCTTTCTCTCTCTCTCTATGGCTCTCTCTCTCTATCTCTCTACGTCTTTGCTTCTCTCTGTCTCTCTCGCTGTACATCTCGCTCTTTGTCTCTGTCTCTTGTTCTCTTTTGTCTCTCTTTCTCTACCCTGTTTCTTTCTTTCTTTTTCTCTCCCTCTCTTCTTCTCTCTCTGTCTCCCTCTCTTCACAGTGACACATTGCATTCATTGAAACCCGCCTTTACGTCTTTTTCTCACATCGCAGAAATCCCCCGTTCCTCCCCTCCATCCTCCCGCACAGTCCGCAGCAGCAGCAGTGGCAGAGTCTATAGCTGGACCTGCTTCATGCATTTCAATGAGCTCCCGGGCAATTTGTGGTGCAGTTCTCCCGTCTCCTGCCTCCTCGTGTGTTGTCTTCGCTCCGGCCCCTCTCACGCTGGATAATGAGGGACTTAGTGCTTGTCAGTGCCCGCCCGGTGATGCTCTGAGCTGGGGGAGAAAAACTACAACAAGAGGGGGAGCTCTGGAGGTCCTGGCTGAAGGCTACGGGTGCAGGTTAATGAGGAGGATACATGGAAAACAGAAGGGAACAATACTGGCACGAGAAAAGGTTGGAAGGTTTTGCAAAGTATCTGTCATACACTTGTGCACTGGTTGTACTTTTTATTGTAAATTATGTTGACAATAAGATAATAATTCACCTCATGTATTCATATCCAAGATCCTAGTTTAACATTTTGACATATTTGATCTCTCAAGGTAGTAGTTCAGTGCATCTAGCAGTTTCCGCAGCAGAACTGGTAGTAGGAAGGGTCAAATGCACTTGGAATAAAGTTCACACTGTACCAAACACCATAAATATATAAAATGTGTTACAAGCATCAACAGCCTAACAACTTTAAGCTATACACACCTTCACTCGAATCATTTGGATAATTACAAATGGGGCTTGAAAACTACCGCTTCATGACATCACAAGGTGGAACAGAGCATTTTCAGCTTTGGAAATGTAGACTAACACGTTAATACAGGGTTACTCAAACGTGTGAATGAAACAAAACACAACTCCAGATACCGTATTTTTCGGACTATAAGGTGCACTTAAAATCCTTTAATTTTCTCAAAAATCGACAGTGCACTTTATGTATTAATTCTGGTTGTGTTTACTGACCACAAACCGATTTTATGTGGTACACGATGCTCAGAAATCTGTCAAAATGTTTTAGTACGACGTTTGTAAGTTACGAAGCTGCACCACTTAATGGATTGTTGGACCATTACGGCTACTGTAGTTAAGTCAGGAGCCTCGCGGAGTCATGTCCTTTAGACCCCGTCCACACTAGTACGTGTTTGAATCGTTTTCATTGCAGATGCAGTGTTCGTCCACACTAATCCAATTGAAAACGGCTCCAGAGACGGAACGAGGTGGTGCCACCAGCTCCCACAAATTAATTCACCGTCAAACGCTAAGAGTCTGGAATATATGTTCATTCATATATACGGTCTGTGTGTATGACCTGCAGACGTATAATCCCTGAAAAGTTTAATATGAACCATCTCCAACACGACATACACAAAGAACAGACTCACCATCAGCAGAAAACCCCTCTGTCACAGAAAGAACACATATATTCCACTGAGTCGTGTCCTTTAGCTCGACAGAAGATGAACTGCATAAGCGCTCAACAGCGAGCTGTTTTTTGAATGCTTAGTTTATGCAAATTAAGTTTTGTTTCTGTAAAACGTACACAAATACACTCAAAGCTGTGTGGATAGGGAAGGCTTGCAGACACAGAAACGACGTGTCTGAATGTAAATCGTTTCCAATACGGTGATACAGTGATTCGTTTCAGTGTAAACATAGCCTTAGTCCGACAAAATGCCAATGGATCGTGGACGCCTGGGCTAAAGGATCAGTCTCAAGTGTCGTCCGTTTGTTTCGCTTAATGCGCCTTGTAATCTGGTGCGCTTTATGTATGAAAATAGACAAGAGAATTCAACATTACTGATACTGTGCCTTATAATCTGGTGTGCCTTGTAGTCTGAAAAATACTGTATATTTTTAATGAGGTAACAACTTATATGTCTTAAAGCTCTCGAGTCAGTTTTGCGTAATATAAGATCTTTAAACTTAAATAATCCAGGTTAGTGGTTATAACTACTAACCTACTACTGTATACTACTTGATCCCATGGAGATAGTAATGTTTTGTATTTGTTCCAGTATGACATTAAAGGTGCACTGTGTAACTTTTCTCGTGTAGAGTCCGTCATAGGCTTGTTTCTATGGCGTTGTCATTGCTGTGCCTGGAATGTTCCACAGTATGACATTAAACAACTTGACTTTACATGTATTCATGGTTTTATTGCTCAAAAATACCAAGAACAACAGATATTCTGACTGTGAGTGGGGTTGTTTTAGGTTTAATGCCATACTATGAAACATTCCAGGCAAAGCAATAACATCTACGTGGAGAAAAGAAAGAAAATTTGACGTTCCCTTCACCAGAAATGTTACACAATGCACCTTTAACATTGAAAAAGATGCATATATACTATTAGCAGAATCTACAAATCTGGAGTCAAGCAGTCT